TATGCTTACCATGTGGCTAAGTGCTTATATGAGATAAACTGTTTGAATGCCTGTGGGTGAAGGTTGGATTGTTTGAGTTGGAAAAACTCGTTGAAATCCGTGTTTTAGCCTACTTGCGAGTAGCAAATTCCAAAGCGCTTTTCAAAACAAACGGATATGCAATGCTTGTTTCCAAATTAGGCAATCTAGTCTATACTTGTTTGCTGCGCGCATAACATAGTAATTCTAGGCTAATAATTGGAATAAGAACACATAATGTTTTCAAAAACGGATATCACGGTTAATAGAGGCCAATCTTCGGATCGGGCGAGAGAGGGTGCTCATAGCTGACCTTCCCCAATCGTACCCTAGCTCCCGAGCCGAGACAACTTCGGTAATGACGGACATGTGGCCTTCGGCACCGAGTCAGGGTTTCCTAAATTTCCCCATTAAAAAAATATTTAGGTGGCGACTCTGTATCTAGCAAAGCAGTCCATGTTTGACACTTCTTTTCAAAAAAAAAATCTATTTCTCAAAACGATTTGTCAGATTTGGACTCTTTGGTTCAAGATTAAGAACCGTGACAAAAATCGAGTCCGAACTATAGTAGCGAATGCCCCCACGCGGGCACATCTACAGAGGGTTCCTTGTATCTGGAACCTGCTGTGGGCTATCCCAAATAATCATGTATTTCCAACCCACTTAGGGCCTCGTTTGGGATAGCCCCTATATTGGGCTGGAGCTCTGCTGCCAACCCACTTAGGGCCTCGTTTCGGGGTGGGGCTTTCCGGCCCGGGTCGGTTGGGGCAGGGGCTATCTCACATCGTATAGCAAGTTGGGTGTGTGTATATTACATCCAACCTGCGCTTGCTTTTCGAAGGCGAGTTCAGTGTTGGCTCTGTGGTTCAAAACAAACAAACCAAATTTATGAAAGTGTAAAGCAAAGCTTGACAATCAATCACCATAGCCATGGACTTGTCGAAGCTCCAATCTAGGGTTTCATCTTCCTACATCCCACCCCACCGCACTCAGCTCCACCCTCGCACCATCCTCTATCCCAACCCCAGGGCCTCTTCGTCTTCTTCCAATCGAGACAAATGCCTCATCCTCTTCGCCTCCCTCTTCGTCTTTCCTTTCCTCTTCTACACCGCCCTCGGCGTCCACCAATCCTCCAAATTCGGCGAATCCAAGACTAATCTCTTCGGTATCATCATCAATGCCTCCCCAACCCACTCTCGAATTCACGTCTTCGAGTTCCTCAACCCTGGTTCCACCTCTCTTGAGGTGAAGCCGGGGTTGAGTTGGTTTGCCGGAGATCCGGAAGGGGCTGGAAGGTCGGTTGTGGAGTTGATTGAGTTTGCCAAGAAAAGGGTTCCTAAAAGTGAGTGGAGGAATACTAAGGTGCAATTGATGGGTAGTAGTGAGTTGGAGAGGGTGGAATTGGTTGCAAGGGAGGCCATTTTCGAGTCCTGCAGGCGGGTTTTGTGGTCCTCTGGGTTTTTGTTTAAGAACGAGTGGTTGGCTATGATGGAAGGTTGGTTGGCTGGCTGGCTGGCTTTTCTTTATGAATGCTTTTATTTCTCTTTTGAGTTGCTGGTTTTTATATAATTGAATTGATTATGGGTGTTGCTAGCAAATGTAGTAAGGCAGATAAAACAGAACAACAAGAAAAACTGAAGAAGAATCCAAGTACTTTTTATTGAATTCTAAACACTTTTCGTTAAAATTAATACAGTTTTCAACTCTTTTCTATTCTGATAATTTTAAAGGTGAGATCTTGCTCATCCACCTATGTTGGGTAGTTGAGAGACCAGAGATGATCCATTTAGTGTGTTTTGCTGTTCTTTATTACCATGTGGTAAATGCCACGTGATACCTTGGGACTACCAAATTATTTTATGGATTTATGATCTCATTTATTAAGCTCATTGTTTTGAACATGCTATTTGCTTACTAGTCTTTGGTGAGAACCTTGCATGATGTATCGGACTAGCTATTAATGAACTAGGCTTCGGATTCGGCAACTTGGTAATGCAATCTATGTTTATGAGATTTTTTTTTTTTGGGTCTGTACATTATTACCCAATGGTTAGAACGGTAATTGATTCTCATGTGTAGAAAGTCTGCTAACTAATTCTCATGCGTGGAAAGTTTGCCAACTACTGATCTAAGTCACATTGTGTATAATCCTGACTCAGGTTGAGAAGAAGCTCTTTATGCTTGGGTGGCTGCGAACTATGCTCTTGGAAGCTTGGGAGGAGAACCTCAAGATACGACTGGGATTGTTGAACTTGGTGGGGCATCTCTGCAGGTTCTTTTCATTTTCATAGTGACTTTGCCCATAATTTGTATTCTTGTTTTAGCCGGTGGATACTAGACAGGCACACAAACAAACTAGGAATTTACTTGAGTGATGCACAAGTTAAGGTACAAAACTACAAATATGATCTGCTGGATAGGAGGAAGACTGTCCTATGTTCCATGAATTTTTGAATGATTAGATTGTCTTATATTTTTATAAAATGGATAGACAATAATGTAGTAATAAGAAGGAAAACTATATTTGAACTTTCCAGTAACAACATTATAATCATGTAAAAATTAAAACAAAAATTTACTATAAACATTACACAATTTTAAATTGTCTTTTATAAACTAACAATATTGTAAATTATATATTAATTACACAAGGTGACCGCTGGTTATGTATAAATAAATTTTGAAGCCAAATGTAGATGTGTTGGCTGTGTTTGGAAAAGTCTGGCCAAGTCTAATTGTGCCTAAATAGTTGATAAAAAGAAAATTCTTGTAGGTACATGGTCCATTTCCCCGCATGGTTATGCCAGCACCATGTCATCCTTTCCATGTGCTTGTGTCTCACGTGTCATTCTCTTGAGGTGAAATTTGGAATAGTAGGGTATCACCATGTGTCTTGTTGATCCCCTTGGGATCAAATTGTATTGATGAAAGCTAACGTACGTGTGCCTTAACTTTGAGCCAAGGGAACAAATCTCCTAGAGCCAGTCTCCTAAAGGCACTCCTTATACACTCGCTTGGATGCGCTTGGTCTCCCTTATCTTGGCTGAGCCGTTCTCTACTCCAGTGTGTCCCTCCTCCAGTCATGACAACTCCCTAGCCATATCTGGGTAGGGCCAAGTGGCTCTCCACCCTAGTCTGTACCTTCTAAGCCTCATTATCCCTTCTCTAATGGAACCTTGATGTTCTCATGCTGGCCTAAGTCAATAGGGACCCTCTCAGGTTTTGATGCGGTCATAGGGTGGCTGAGAGCTACCTTGTCACCCTCATGCGGTACTTTTGGGGTCATGTGGCTTGGGGCTAGGGGTGAGGGTTTATTTGGTCCCGCCACCTTTGAAAGACTTGCATTATGTCCTGTCTTAAACGAAGATAGACCTCCACAAGAATGTATTATAGACCAAGATGAAGGCATGCAGTGTGCTTTGTACCCCTTTGTACTTGAGGAACACATCTCACTACCATTGTGGCTAACACTACTACTTGTTACGATCATGTCACTGATGGAGCGTCAATTAGGTAGAGAAAACCCCATCTCACGTGCCCACTTGGGCATGTTCCCTTAGCATGCCAAGCTGAGTTGGCTTGACCCCTTTCAGAGGTCCTTCTCCATCCATGAGCAAGTAATTTCCTATGCATTGGAGACTTGGGTTCACCATACCTCTACTATTGTCATTCTCTTTTTCTCTCTCTGTCTCTTTCTTGAAGGTTGTTTTAGCTATTATTTAGTTGACTTATGGTGGTCTAGTGCCAATTCATTGCCTACCTTACTTTCCATAAGGTTCCTTTAATTAGCTTTACTCACCTTTGGCCATGCACACATCTACATTGGGATTTGCTTTGAGGGGATGGTAGGTGTGAGATTAGGGAACACAATGGACGGAAAATTGTAAAATTTTGATGATTGTGAATCATATTGTTAAAATTTGGTAAGGAGTGGCTAGAGTGGTGCACTTTTTGGACAACTGTAGCTGGTAAAACCAAAAAAATAGTGTGATTGAAATTATATGAGGGATTGCATGTGATTCTCCTAGAAAGCTCAACAATGTTTTAAAGCTACAATTCTGCTTGTTTTTGTTTTCTACATTATCATGTATGCAATGTAATTTAAAATTAAAAAATAAAAAATAAATTAAAGGAAAAAGAAAAGAGAAGGAGTTCCAGAGTGAATACGTTTTTTGTTGGTACATTGTACAATGGTCTACTTTCTAATGAATTTTAAGAATTTAACATACCTAATCATCAATTGCATACTTATCTCTTCACAGTTGTCTTTGTTTAACTTATTCCTTGTAACTGTTATTGTAGAAGTTGTGCCTTTGCAGCCATTATTTTGAACTTGGTTACTTTGGCAATATACCTCCTCTATGTTTCATAGACACATAAATGGTGACTTGTGCTTTACATATCGGCATATATACTTGCGCGTTTAAGTCTTGGAGAGAGACATTTTCAGCCATACTGAACAAAAATAAAGAGCCATAGCACTTCATATATATTTAAGTCCTATATTTCATCATTATGAAGCTTGCTGAATTGACTTCCTGTGGGAGTTAGGAGTATAGGCTGTCTTAAAATTTCCATTACCAAGGTGGTCAAACCAAATGCCTGATTACGGCGATGGTACACCGTGCCTCAATGCCGTAGTGGTCATGGCATGCATCCCATAGCTTAATTGCTGTGGTTATACCACACAACTTACGTTAATTACAACGGTAATTGTAGCCGAGGTTTTAAATAGCAGTTGTTATGTATCGTATCTGCCGATACATAAGGGATTTTCGACTTTCAATACCATTATTCACTGATATATCAGACAATACTGTCTGATATGGGCCGTTATATGACCGTATCATCGATACCATTATTTAAAACCATGGTTGTACCACACGACTGATTAACCTAGGCCAGAGGCATGGACTAAATAAGTCAAGGCCTTTGGCACACACCATGAGACTCTGGGGTCTTGTGGCTTGGAGGCTAGAGGTGGAGGTTTTGTCATAGCGCCAACCTACTGAGTCGGACCGCATTGGGTCAGTCCTACAGAAGAGAGGCTTTGCCACTAAGCTTTATTTGGAAAGCCTTCAGAATCAAGAGACAATCTTAATTGCCTAACTAACTTCTAATAGCTTAACAAGATCCCTAAGGATATGACAACCATATTGGACAGTTTGTTTTGGTTAGATACTCACCTTTTACAGATAAAATGTAAAAGATAGTACTCTCCTACATCACATTAAAATACTTTAAATTTCAGGTCGTCTCCAAGTTCTGTACAACGATTCCATCTTTCTTCTTATCATACCCTCTGACGGGTGCCTTTGATATGTTTTGCCATTATTCAGTGAGCCTATTACCATCTGGTCATCCCACTCCTCAGATAATTGATGATAATAATATGTTTCAAAAGTATACTGGAAGCATGGGATGTGATTGCAATGACATGGTCTAGTAATTCATATTTACGATTTTATATAACATGTGGTATTGTCTTTCCACTATCCTTTTCTTGGTTTTGAATATGTTAGTGAAATTTTCATTTCATTTAAGTGAATGATTATTGACTCATTGTACTGAGATATTTACCTGGGTGAACATTAATCATTTAGAAGATTGGGAATTCTTTCCTGAACCAGTTGATGTATGGACGCAGGTTGCATTTTCTCCTAGAGATCCACAACCAATGCAACTTTCACAGATTATCAAACTGGCTGGAGTGACTTACAATCTGTATACGAATCAAAAGTATACTGGAAGCATGGGATGTGATTGCAATGGCATGGTCTAGTAATTCATATTTACGATTTTATATAACTTGTGGTATTGTCTTTCCACTATCCTTTTCTTGGTTTTGAATATGTTAATGAATTTTTCATTTCATTTAAGTGAATGATTATTGACTCATTGTACTGAGATATTTACCTGGGTGAATATTAATCATTTAGAAGATTGGGAATTCTTTCCTGAACCAGTTGATGTATGGACGCAGGTTGCATTTTCTCCTAGAGATCCACAACCAATGCAACTTTCACAGATTATCAAACTGGCTGGAGTGACTTACAATCTGTATACGAAAAGCATACCTTACTTTGGTCAGGTGTCTCTTTTTTTATTATTTTGGCATTATAATTCTTATGACATTGGTGTTTAACTTTCTCATGTTTTCTTGACTTTATTATACCATTGTATGTTGGTTTATTTTTTGCATAGACACTTTGCTTTAATCTTTTCTTTGGTGTTTTTGGGGTGGGTTGGAAGGTAACCTGAGAAATCTGTTTCAGTTTGAAGATGTCTTGTACTTGGGTTTACACTGTAGGTTAACAAAGTCAATGTTACTTGCAAGAACTTCTTTCTTAAGGCACACCTAATAGATTATATAGTTCCTTTTATTTTTATTATTTTTGAAGAATATGTTGCAATGTCCCCTGAGAACTGTTCTGAAAGCATATTTTAATGTTTGAGCAGATTCCTATAATTCTTGTATAACTTCTGCCAACCTTAAAACATTTCTGACCGCCAAAAAAGAAAAATGAAGATACATGAGTTGAAAGTGGATGAGGAGAGAGAACATCAACCTCAAAACACCTGACCATCATGGACCCATTTACTAGATGGGGTGGCAAAAATGACTCCTGCAAATAAAGTAGTGGGGGTGGTAGGGAGAGGGGGAGGTTCGGTAGTTTTAAGTTATGAAAAGTTCAAAATTTATAAAACTCTCATAAAGTTGTGTTATTATTTGAAAGTATAGAAATGTATTGTGAGTTGTTTAGTTAAATCACATACTAATTGGTAATACTTATCCAAAAAAAAAAAAAAAACGTAATGGTAACTGTCCACAGGATCATATGGGAAGGAAGTTGAAAGCCCGAATGGCAAATGCTGAACAACTTTTGACATTAGATTTAATTATAATTGTGCAGGCTTTGATTACATGAGGCCATTTACTATGATTATGTTAACTCGTAAATTTTTTTTGGAAAAGTTTGCCATCATTTGAGAAGTTTCTTTTTACTACTTAATTCTTTTTAAGTAATAATTTGTTATTCATCCCTAACAATGTCCTGTCGGCACAACATTATTTATTTGGAAAATTTTGAGGAAAAAAATTGGTTGGAACACATATTGTTTTGTGGAATAGGAATACGAATATAATAGGCCATGCTCTATGAAGGACGGTTGGAACATGCATAGTTCTACATTGTTTCCGTATTTGTCTAGAGATGTCACTTTCTTTGAGTCTATTCCTTGTTACTCTAAGGCTCTTTCACATGATCTTACTCTTCTTGTTCCTAGTCTTATTTTTCCCAAGTAGTTGTTTTTGCTTAGTTGTTCATCAATCATGACACATTTGTTCTTTTTGAGAAATGTTTTCCCTTTTCTTCTTATGTATATATGGCTCATAATCAGAATCAAACTATATGTCATGTGTGACTTGAGCAAACACCAAGGGCCTCTGCCCTTCACATCGCTTGGATAGAGAGAGGGTGCTAGGGAGGGCATAAAAACAGAAATAGCACTTTATGTTAACATGCATATATGGCTCATGATTTTCATTGGGTATTCTTATGAAGGTCAACTGCATCAAAGGGTAAATGGCTGACATTGAACTTGGTAAATAAATTGGTTGAATAATTGAAAAATCCCCATATGATAGAAGTAGAACAACTCTTTATATCTATTTGCTTGAGGTATATTTTGTAATTTTATTTTTTGTAAGATTTTTCATTTGTGATGTATCTAGTAGTAGGCTATTACTTCTGATCATTATTCTAAATATAAGTTGTGCAGTCTATAAGATGACAAAGACAAAGGAAAACAGAAGAAAGTAAAATTTCTAAATTTGTAAAATAGTGGATGGCAATTGCAGACAATGAATTCACATTCTATCCGTCCTTTCTTTTTCAAGGAATTGATTGTTACTTAATTTTTTTAATTTATTTTTTATTTTATATTTTTACAAGAAGTAAAAGGGGAGGACTCTGACCTTTGTTCTTCTACAGGATGCAATATGGGAATCACTTTGTGATCTACACAACTCAAAAGACTTGTTAACTTGTAAGTTTTGTAGTTTGAGTATTTCCTTCTATTTTCCTGTGGGATAAAATTTGATTAGTTTGTACTTGCAAACTATCAACATATAGCTGTTAGATACATAGGAGGTTGACTTCTAATTGCTTATAGAAAAATTCTTTGGTTCTTTGTTCTTACATTGCTCTCATGACTTTGTTTTGATATGACACCTTCCATGTCTAGTGTGATCAACATATGTCTGTTGACTTTTCCTTGTAACATACATGCTCCTATGTTGCATTTACCTATAACAACTTTCCTTTTTGAACAATAGGTGTTCCTCTCCCACAATTATAAACTAATTCCATCACAAAATTTATTGCAATAGAATTACTTATAAAAAAACTAATTCTATATATTTGTTGCCCATACATCTCCAAGAATCCAAATCATCATATAATTTAAAAATAAATCGTTTAGTTTTGGAAATGAAAGACACCTCTAGGATTATTGAGGACATGCTGATACTAAAAAATCATATAATTTAAGTAAGCATTGATATGGAGATAGGATATAAACATCATACAATATCGACATATTGATTCGGAAAATCCTAAAAAATGTTAGATAGTGCAATGTGGATATAATTCTTATACATTGATCAATTTATAAAACAGGCTTAACAGCAACTATGAGCTTGAAAAGGTGAAATTGATTATTATATTATGTATACTTTCATCATTTCCAATTCTCTTTGCTATCTAAGTAGTTATTTTGTACACACATTTAACCTCATTTCTGCAATTTCTTGAGCAATTATTGCTTGTTGACTGGCTTCATTGTCAGCTTACCTAATTTTTGTTTGACTACCACATTTGTCGTAGGCGTAATGCAGGCAATAGGTGGTTTGGCTTGGTTGAGCAATGCAATGCTAAGAAAAATGTTTCTACTGCAATGAGTAATTTGTTTGGAAAGAAAAATGAAGTGGAAAGTACAGCTTTGATTCATTATGGTCATAAAAAGATAACTCTTTTTTTTGGCAACAAAATAAATTTTATGGTCATGAAGATAACATTGTTTGATTTTAAACAAATTTCTCATAGCATTGCTTTTGTGAGTTGTGACCCAATTTATACACGTTTCAATTGTAGTGAACAACATTCCCATGATTATTTTATGTTATCCAGTCATTTATCTTGTTACAGTGACCTTTAGCCTAATTTGGCAGTTTCAAGTTCCAGAGAGGATATTGCAAGTAATCCTTGCATTCCTAGAGGGTATGACTTTGCATCAAATGCAAGTGATGCAAAACTTTTGAGATCTTATGCGGTGGGAAACTTTCTGCATGCAAATCTGAAATGATGGCATTGTTGAGGAGACGAGGTAAGCTGGCTGTCTAGTCTGTTAGTATAAACACAGTACCATAGCAATTCTAGGATTTAATTTTCTAATTGATCATATTATTTTGATAATAGCTGTAAGAAATAAATGCCATTCCTTTCTTGAAACATGTGTAGCACGCACAGGAACGCTCTTAAACAAGTGACCATTTTTAGTATAAATGAAAGAGGATTACCTTGTACATGCGGGAACTCTTATGATAATTGGCATTTTTATGAATTAGAAACAGACAGCAGAGAAATAAGCAAGTGTTACCTAGATCTTTGTTTTTTTTTCAATCTCGCAGTTGAAAGAGGGACATTTATAGAGCCAATAACGTGTCAGACTTTTGTTTTTCTCAGTGACTACATAAAATATAGTGCTAACAGCTTCAGTTATTTTCATTGTTAGTCTAAGCATGAGCCACGGTTAAACCATGATGATTTGTTTGGCATCTCATACTGCCAAGCAACGGTAATTGGCCATCTCATTTTTTTAAATAAACATGGAAAACAAACAAGGCCTAATATTTACATGATAGTTTTTTTCCCCTTTTTCTAGGAATGAATTGTTTTCTCTCTCTCTCTCTCAAGGAATCACTATTGTTACGCATGTATGAATGAGAGCCCCATTGTGTCCAGAAAAAATAGTCTCTTTGAATCTTCAGTTGCACCTCAACTGAAGGTCGCAGAGTTGATGATATTATTCTTTGATCCTTCAAAATATCCAAGAATTATTAGTAGGTTTTGTTATACTTGGATTCTTGAATATAGGCATCTGCTATAGCTTGCCATGAGTGATGCAAGATGAAAAACTTCTTTGTTCTGCTTGACTGCTGTTCCAAGTATAATTATTCAACTTATGTTCTAATTAAGGGAATAATAAAAAAAAAAACCAGAAAGGTAGATTGGAAAAGTTCCCTATACCATCAAATGTTTTATGCTAGAAATTACCATTATACTTATTCATGTTTGCTCACTACGAGTGTGACACATGATGATAGCCTAGAGTTTTTGTATTCTACTGTTTATTGTGACGGAAAAGTGGTGGGTTAATAGATTAAACAAGGGAAATAAGGTTAGGGTTTGTAAAATAATTGATTCCAAGCAATAGGTTAATATTATGGTGATCTATGAAGCACATACACTCCAAATTAGTCCTAACCATGTTCGACATGTGTCCGACACCTATAAGCCTCAGACACACCAGGATACATGTTAAACACTCCACATGGCATGCCTATTTTTATTATTAATTTTCGTTTTGGATGGAGACACATCACAGACACACCCTAGGACACATTTGACTTGTGATTATTTGTTTTTACGTATGATCTATTTATCATTATATTAAATGCTTTTGATGTTTGTGAGATAATGGTTTATGATTGAAAAATAGTTTTTTTAACGTTGAATGATGTTTAAATTATAGATCAGGTTATTTATCCAAAAAAAAAATATGTCATAGATCGAGTTGTTTTTACATGTTGAATTGGTTGGTTTTTCATTAGTTTTAGATGTCTACCAATGTAATATTCATATACATAGCAAATAAAAACATGGAGCTCGGGCCGTATATCCTCTTTTTGGACTTACAAGGCAATACGTTCAGAGACTTTTTGTTTGGGTCCAAAAGGATAATATCACGTCAAAAGACCATGACATATATTTAGATACCATTGTTTTCTTCATCATCATTCACTGCAAATTATTCTCAGTGATGGTTTCATCTCATGTGCAGATATATGCTTGCATCCACCTTGTGAAAGAGTATCATCTTCCCTTGTTGCAGAGCCGGCTTGTTCCTCCAGATAAATTCTTCTTTATTTCTGAGGTTTGTTATCAGTGACATACATTGGAAGACAGCAGTATATGTTCTTATTCATATTATAATTTATAAAGTTTACATCTCTCTCTCTCTCTCTCTCTCTCTCTCGACAATGCTTTCTTGAATTTTGGGTGATTTGGATTTGGATTTGGATTATTTCTACCTTAGCTAGGGCTGCATCAATAACTTATGATCCCAATTAATGAAATTCATTACTGAAAAATGTGAAATATATTTAGATGACTAATACATCAATTTATTTCTACAGCAGTATATGTTCTTATTCATATTATAATTTATGAAGTTTACATCTCTCTCTCTCTCTCTCTCTCGTGCAAGCTGAACAATGCTTTCTTGAATTTTGGGTGATTTGGATTTGGATTTGGATTATTTCTACCTTAGCTAGGGCTGCATCAATAACTTATGATCCCAATTAATGAAATTCATTACTGAAAAATGTGAAATATATTTAGATGACAAATGGTATCCTAAAAATAGATTTCAAAGTTGCTAAGTTCCGAGAATGGATCCCTACGGTTTGGAATGGGAATCACATGGATTAGCTATTCCTGGAAATCACAAGTGTGGAAATGAAGCAGCCATTCCTAAACACTGATTCCCACAAACAAAATAAAGCTGAGGTGAACTTGCACAAACTTAACAAATTTAATGACCTTTTTGTAAGTTTTATTATTTTTACTTAGCAGAAAAATTTACACAAACATCATTAACTTGGTCCTCTAATGAGCCTTGTAGAATTGAGTAACCTATACCGAGATTCACTAATAAAATGCTTATGCTGCCCAAAAATGAATTGCAATAGCATTCAATTAGGAAACGTAAAATTGCCTGCCAAAACAGTTTTTGGACAGTATCACAAGAATAGACCATATCATACAATGCATCATGTGTCATTTTTGAGTCACCATCCCAATTTTGCACCATTGTCTTCACATGGATTGATTCTCTCTCTCTCTCTCTCTCTCCTGTTTTTAGTTTACTAAATTTTCTTTTCAATATTGGACAGTTTTTTGGCCTTGCTCCGACGGCTACTTTATCAGAGTTGGAGGCAGCTGGCCATCATTACTGTGAAGATGATTGGTATCAACTGAAGAGAAAATATCATAGCACTGATGACCTGGATTTGTTGAGATATTGTTTTTCTTCTGCATATGTTGTGGCATTGTTGCATGACAGTTTTGGTATCCCAATGACTGATAAGAGGTAAAGTCCCCCCCCTCCCTTTTCTCCTGAATAGTTAGCTTTGTCATCTTGTTTCACATCTTATTCTGACGCATATTTGCAATTTTTTTACAGTAAAAAGGGAAAAAAAAATGGAGAGAAAAAACCGTATATTCTTATTCATTAACCACAAAATCTAAGTTACTAAAATGGTTTACACTGATAAAATAGAGTGAAACCCTAAAACCTAAAAAAACAAAAATAGTATCATACTAAATATATAAGAACAAAATACAAATAATACAAAACACGCATTCACACTCCTCCCCTCTTCAAACTCATGATGCAAGCCCTGTAAGCATCGACAGTTTGTTAGGTAAGAACTGAATTCGGGTAAACGTGTGATTTTGGTGAAGTCTGCAATTTGTAAGGAGGAAGAGATAAAGGCAAGATTGGTGGTACCTGATTGAAGATGATGAATGAAATTACAATTAATCTTGATGTACTTTGTGCACTTATGGAATTGTGGGCGATCTGAATAGCACTCTGATTATCGCAATAAAGACAAGTTGGAGATGAGATGGAGACACCCAAATTTGATAGGAGCCAATGAAGCTAAACAATCCTAGTTCACGACATTCGACCTCAGCCATAGACTGAGCAACAAGTCTGTTTCTTAGTTTTTCACGAGAGGAGAGTTACCAAGAAGTACACAAAAACCAATAGTAGACTTACATTCGGGTAAACATGTGATTTTGGTGAAGTCTGCAATTTGTAAGGAGGAAGAGATAAAGGCAAGATTGGTGGTACCTGATTGAAGATGATGAATGAAATTACAATTAATGTTGATGTACTTTGTGCACTTATGGAATTGTGGGCGATCTGAATAGCACTCTGATTATTGCAATAAAGACAAGTTGGAGATGAGATGGAGACACCCAAATTTGATAGGAGCCAATGAAGCTAAACAATCCTAGTTCACGACATTCGACCTCAGCCATAGACTGAGCAACAAGTCTGTTTCTTAGTTTTTCACGAGAGGAGAGTTACCAAGAAGTACACAAAAACCAATAGTAGACTTACAATCGGAAACATATCCAACTCAATTATCATCAACGTAAGCTTGAATAGTCAAAATGAAGCAAAGGATAACAATAAATAAACTCTTTAAATGCTCACTACACAAATAACCTAACCTAAAATGTCAAAGATAAAATTGACTCAAATTCTGATTTAGACATACGAAGATATTGTTGTGGAAGAGAACTCCACAAGAATATGCAAAATCTCCATCATATATAAGTCACTAGTCCTATGCCCGATCTTAATCTACTGTTTCGACTTTTGATCTTGAACAACACAACCAAAAGAAGAAAAGAGAACATCAAATCCTGAATTAGAAAATTGACTGATAGATATAAGTTAAGAGACAATTGGGGTACACAGGACAAAGATGTAGAAGGAAGAACGAGAGCTCCACATTCATAGGAGATGCAATATTTGGTTGTTTAAGTGTGTTATTAAGTGTGATTTTCTATGATTTCGATGGAGATAAGTGCTATTTGGAAAACTGTAGTTGAAGCTCCGTTTGGCACTAGATTTCAAACAAAATAAGTTTGTTTGGCCCTATACGCTGAAAATCCTAAGTTTTTTCGAACAACTGAGGCTGAGTATAACTAGTTTAACCAACTTTGGGCCATTCGGTAGACATCAACTCATCAAACTTGATTTGTTCAGTTCAGCTATTGTTAGCCAAACAAACCAAGTTTGCTTGGGTGTTGTTTTCCAAACAAATCAAGTTTATTCAGCCGTAGTTGTCACCCTCATGTCATCCTCCTCTGTGGTAGAAGAGCTGGAAGAGGGAAGGAGAGAGGAAGAGGGTGGGTGTAGAGAGGTGTGAGGTTTAGGATGGAGGTATGTTTGTTATTAGGAGGGGTTTAGAGTGAGAGAATAAAAAAATTAAATTTTATAGGTGGGTGTAATAAGAAAGTAGGTATAGAGATTTGAATCTGTGTTGTAAATAGAATCTCCCACAAGAGCAAGGAAAAGAGATTTTAATATGGGTCAAAATACAGAAATACCTTTCAGATTACTAAGCAATTAAATGTAGGATAAAGACATAATATATAACACTCCTTAAGGTTGGTGCGAAAATATGTCTCATTCCCAACTTACAAACAATGGAATGGAGAACCTTACTCTCCTAGTAAATAGATCAATGAATTGATCTTTTGATTTCACAATTGGGATATAAGTCAAACGCTTATTCAACTTTTTCTTGATGAAATGTCCGTCAATATTGATATATTTTGGTCTAATGAGCTATATTAATAATATCCTTATTATCGCAATACAACTTCAAGATTGAATTTGAGGATTTCACCATGATGGATTTGAAATAACAAAGTAAAATTAGTTGTTTGAATTCCCTTTCATTTTAAGGCTACAATGATCATGATAAAATGCATGTCTTCTTGCTCTACTCTATCTTCTCTTTTAGTTTCTCAATCTATCTATTATTGTCAACTTTACTATATTTTCAAAAAGTTTAACCTCAAATCCCTTCCTTTGAAATCCCTCTATCCAAACAAAACATTAATTTCATTCCAACTTGCATGTCATTATTTATGTTGGCATGTTGTATGTTGCTTCATCGCTTGTTATTGTTCAATACAACTTCGAGATTGAATTTGAGGATTTCACCATGATGGATTTGAAATAACAAAGTAAAATTAGTTGTTTGAATTCCCTTTCATTTTAAGGCTACAATGATCATGATAAAATGCATGTCTTCTTGCTCTACTCTATCTTCTCTTTTAGTTTCTCAATCTATCTATTATTGTCAACTTTACTATATTTTAAAAAAGTTTAACCTCAAATCCCTTCTTTTGAAATCCCTCTATCCAAACAAAACATTAATTTCATTCCAACTTGCATGTCATTATTTATGTTGGCATGTTGTATGTTGCTTCATCGCTTGTTATTGTTCACTTAGTTTGTCAGTGTTGCACTTTTCACAAGTGTTGAGTTAATATTTCAATGAAAAGTCAAATTTTCTTTTGCTATTTCCACCCTTACATGCTGATTTAAAATTTAAAAACCATGAGAAAAAAATTCCTATCAGAATTTGACGACAGAAAATTGTTGTACGCAGGATTAGATTTGGCAATCAGGTTGGAGTCATTCCTGTTGACTGGACTCTTGGAGCTTTTATCCTCCAAACTATCCGGGAGCCCCTTCAATTGGAACCAAATGAGCTGGGCGAAATTGTTGGAAATGACGCAGTCACTTATTTTTATTAAAATGTCAAAAACCACAATTGAAGACAATATATGACTTGGAAAAGGGGCACTATATTGTCACCCGTATGCCTGGGTAATTTTGTCTTTAATTTCTTCATTATCTATAAAAGAAAAGAGAAAAAAAAGAAAAAAAAGAAAAAGTGTTTTAATAAACTTGGCTGATTTAGATTTCTCTGAACCGTGTAATATACAAAAAAAAAAGTACATATATATATATATATACATGAGGGAAATTTGCAAAATAGCATTCACACGATTGGTGAAGATGTAAAGGAAGTGTATATGATGGTCTCTTGCCCATTTTATGGTTCCTAATTGAATGGACGAGCATCATAGGAGTTTTGCATATGATTCCAGCTTTGGGCAATATAAATTGGAAATAATCTTTATAATTTTATTTGAATTTCAATTTAATCACTTCTGGCTATGTTTGGATCATGAGTTTAGGTAGGATTTAAAAAAGGGAAAGAAAAAAGATGAGTGAAATGTAATTATATTTCATTGGCATTTTATTTTCATTTTTTGTTTTCCTTTCTTTTTTAAACTCTTATTCAAATTCATGAGCTAAACACGACGTTAGTATAGCATGTATTGTTTTTTGTCTGAAATACTAACAGATTATGGAGGGAGTATACTAAAACGAAAATGAAATTGTAAAGTTAAAAGTGGTGAAATTAAAATTATGAAGATCAGAGTAAAATCTCATTAATTTACTCAAAAAATGTCAAATTGAAGACCCTTTCTGAGGCCAATTTGTTCAACCAGTCAGACAGTAAGCATTGAAGCGAAAGCGCGAAAGAGAGAGAGAGAGAGAGAGAGAGAGAAAATATATGGGGATTCAGAGGTCTCAACTCCACATCCATTATAACCAAATCTTCTACTTAAACTAACCGAAACCCAGGTCGTCAGAACATCTAAAAATCCAGAAGCTACCCAGATAAAATGAAATCAAATTCAGTGTGTTAGAGGTCTGTTTGACATTTCTTATTTCTAATTTTAGAGTGCACTACCCATCTTACAAACTCACTTCTATCTTGTATTATCAATCATTAAGCAAATACTCTGCATCCAAACACAAAATCATCTCTTACAGCCTTTCTTGTCTTCAATTAACCCATTCCTTTTTATTTTTTATTTTTAAAATTTCAGTATAAAAATGATCAAATTACATAACAAAACTAAATAAAAATGGTATGCACACTGCACTAACAGATTATTCACAAACTGCACACTCAGCCAATCCATGGCAAAAAGAATTTTCTTCAACATTAAACTAATTATTTCTGCCAAAAAATATAGTTTTGACCTATTGCACAAATCATATTAATTGTCTACACATGGATGCAATTTTTCCAAAATTTCAATGGAAAATGAACATGAAATAATGGGAGGGAAAAAATCCACTTGGGCCATGGCCTGCAGCCAAGGAAAGGTAACCCGCATGTGAAAGGAAAAAAAAAAAAAAAGATGCTCAACTCATAAATGTATTCTCATTTAGTCATTGTAATTCAAACTGTCATCGTCATCGAGCTCTACTTCAGCATCATCTGACCCACCAAGAAGTGACAGGAAAACTAAAACTGCTACCAGCTGTGTTACCAAGAAATATTTGGCCCGTCTTCTAAATTTTCTCTCTTCCTCTGTCTTTTCCTTCTTAGGTTTGCTCTTGGGTTTTGAACCTAAAAGGATAAAAACTCAGTTACTCTTACAATTATGCATAAAGAAAGAAAAGGCAACAGAAAGACATATAGTTGGAACCATATCTCAATAGCCACAGATCAGTTCAAAGAAGAAAGAAATATGCAGATATAACAGTTAAAAATCATCACTACAATCTTTGTAAAGAAACAATAATAAAAATTCCCCACTCATGACAGCTGGGAAGCATGAATGAATTTATCAACTACATTCCAAATGCAACCACAAAGACCATAAAGATTTCCCCCACACAGAAAAGAAAAGAAAAGGAAGGAAGAACCCACTCACCCAAGCACAAAGTACTCAATTGCAGAATTCTAACTAGAGTAGAGGGACAGTTCAAACCATCAATTGAATGTTTTATTATCTCCAGAAATATATTAATATGCTCCTCTCAAACCTCAGCAAGTACTTAGATAAGAATGCCATAACGCAATTTCCAAAGGAAATCAATGCGACACCCATCACCCGTGTCATGTGTTTTATATTGCATTGAACACAAATCTTGCTTCTCTAAATAAAACAAAAATTTTGGAAAGTCGAAAGAAATTCAAGGTTATAATATCATTTCCAGGCTTGTAGGCCTGTGATTTTCCAGCTAATAAATAGAAGAGGCCAGGAGGGTGAATTTCTCATGTTACCTGGAATGTGGACTTGTGGAATGGAAATGTTGTATGCCACATGCTCTAAATTGTGGTACAATAAGAGTAGGCATGTATAGTTTACACTAAAAATTTACACTCTGTTTGGGAAACTAGGAGACAAAAGATTATGTTTTCTCTCATACTCGTGTGGGGAAGTAGGAGAGAAAAGGAAAGGAAAGAAAAGAAAATGATTTCTCTCCTATCTTGTTTGGTAAAACTACATAAGAGAAAATAAAAGAAATGTTTTCATGTTATATTACCAAAATATCCTTTTTATATTTGGTGACCATACAAATGAGGACATGAGTGTCAATATTTTTATTTCTTTTATATCTACAAGGATATTATTGGGATTATGAATTTAATAATCTCCTAGTTTCTTCTCTCCTAATCTCTCCACTTTTGGAGAGATTCAAAAATAGGATTTGAGGAGAAATTGGTTTCTCCATTTCTCTCCTATTTGGTAATCCAAACAAGTGATTGAAATCCATTTCTCTCCATTTCATTTCTTTTCTCTCCAAATCACTCAAACCAAACAAAATGTGTAAAAATAAATTGATAGAGAGAGAGCATAAATTGTGTATATATTATGATTGATATATTGATTCATATATATTACAAATGGTGAGTGGCTCATTATATAGGAGAGGGTGAGTGTAGTAGGTGAGGAGTAGGTGGTGGTAGGTGATGGTAAATTGGTGGTAGGTGATGGTAAATTCTAACAAAATGTTAAAGGTATTTTTAGTCTGGCGAAACTTTATAACAATTAGACATCCAATAATTTTTTTGTTTTTGTTTTTTCAAATTAATCATATGGCAACACATTTTTATGAATATTATGGCTCATTTTTTATGTATTGTCATGTTAAAATTTCACTACCCTTAAATTTGAGGCCATTATATTTGTTTTTTGGGTAAATTACACTCACCTTCCCGACGGTTTGGGAAAAATATAGTTAGCTACACACTTTTAACATGATTACGCAGGTCTCTCTTAAGGTTTTAATTCACATAAGTTAGGCCCTTTTTCACCAGTAATTTGTTAGTTGTATGAATAAAAAAAATGATATCGTCGTCTCTTTTATACTAAAATGTATATTTATCTTTGTTTATTTCAGTGTTACCCACTACCTGCATTAGTTTCGGTCAATTTACTAAAAAAGAGGTTAGTGTAACTATGTCAAAAGTGTGGGGCTAATTGTATTTTTCCAAACCTCAAAGGAGATGAGTGTAATTTAGGCTTGTTTTTTTTTACTCCGAAGGAAACCCTGAAATAGATTGGAAAAAACTTATGGGATTGTTTTGGATCATGAAATTTAACGTTTTGGAAAGAATGTGTACCATATTTCGGAATGTGCGTTCCAAAAAGGTAATTCGCTAGGTATCAACATTTTCTGGTAACACTCATCAACCTCTGATGTTGGTTGTACAGCTACTAATATCACCAATACACTAAAATAATAAATAAATAAAAGAAATTGCGTGTATCAACAGATTCACCAAATTGTCCAACAAATTAAATGCTACCACATTATCCAGGCACTCAAAAAGGTAAGAAAGCAATATTATTCAAAGTTTTTATTCCTTTTGCCCATACCAAGAAGCCAACTAATGACAAGATCTAGCATAAAACCTATCCACTTTCTTCATCAATACCAACCAGCAACCATAATCATGAAACTAAAGCAAAGTTTGCAAATATCTGAGTTATGAAATAAAGAAGAGCCCCAATCTACCACCAATGTCTTTGGTTACCCGTCAGCCAAAATGATTGAAGGCAATGTTTACCAATGGCATTTCTATTTTAGGCAGCAAAAAAAAACATAAAAAACCTTAAACATATTTCGGAATGTGTGTTCCAAAAAGGTAATTCGCTAGGTATCAACATTTTCTGGTAACACTCATCAACCTCTGATGTTGGTTGTACAGCTACTGATATCACCAATACACTAAAATAATAAATAAATAAAAGAAATTGCATGTATCAACAGATTCACCAAATTGTCCAACAAATTAAATGCTATCACATTATCCAGGCACTCAAAAAGGTAAGAAAGCAATATTATTCAAAGTTTTTATTCCTTTTGCCCATACCAAGAAGCCAACTAATGACAAGATCTAGCATAAAACCTATCCACTTTCTTCATCAATACCAACCAGCAACCATAATCATGAAACTAAAGCAAAGTTTGCAAATATCTGAGTTATGAAATAAAGAAGAGCCCCAATCTACCACCAATGTCTTTGGTTACCCGTCAGCCAAAATGATTGAAGGCAATGCTTACCAATGGCATTTCTATTTTAGGCAGCAAAAAAAAACATAAAAAACCTTAAACACTTAACTGACACATAAAACTGTGGCCTAATTTATTATAGTGTCCAATAGAGACAATATGGAATTCAACACCACAGAAATAACTAATGAAGAGATCCATGAATGAAAGCCAAAAGTATATTACACCAATTTGAAGTACCTCCCCGTCTTTGAAATGATGACGATGGATCTGCAGGGAATGGTGGAGTAGAAGAGGATGAACCACCGTCTATGAACTCCATCTTAAGTTTATCAGCATATTGTACTAGATTAGAATGCTCCACAAGCTTGCTCCGCAGAACTGATGTGTCCTATTAGTACATAATTAAAAATTGTCACGCTTTAATAACTCAATCAAGGTAAAACTAACACCAACAGTATGGGAATTGTCACTGCATCCCATATTGGTAGTTTCTATTTAAGCATAGTGTATCTGATAACAATATAGTTTATTGTAATATGCACTGTATAATACATATGTCCATGTGCAGGTTGTAGCCTTTAATTATCCTAACTCTTAAGACCCACTTCAACCAAGTTATCTTAACTTTTAAAGGCCGGCACAAGGGTGTGAAACAGTTAGATAGAAACCCAAAAACCAAATAGACATACCTGAGTCGATATGAAATAGGCAACATGTAGAATTATAGACTCAACAGATATGACACTGTTTTGCTGACCTAGTGGTTCATTTGAGTCCATGAATACTCTAGAATTTAGTCAGTTGATGCAGATACGAATCTAATGCCCACAAAAGAAAGGATGGCAAAATGATTCAGTACTTTTAGCTATTTTTATGAATCTTTTCCGAGGGTGACTGCCTGCCAAGGGACTGAACACTTACAACTGTGGCCGCAAGACAAACATTTTGAAGTCCATTCCCAAATCTCTTCACCAGTTGGTAAAAATGGGAATCAATCTTTTGACTTTCATGGAAATCTTACTATTCAAGCATGCCGCTTTTAACATCTCAAGGCACCAGATTTTATGCAATCTTGTACTCATAGCCAGTGTTCTATTTCTAGCTAATATCAATTTTGTGTAACAACGTAGAAACAAGTACCAGTCAACTCTAACTGATTTATTTGTTATAACAAGGACCAATCAACTCTAACCAATATGGAAAAGAGAAGGGAAAATTTTGTTTATTTTTTCATGCATAATATATACCATAAGATACCAACTTTAGCATGAATACAGACATAATAAACCACAATCATCTTTAACAAAGATCATCAAAATGATGCCGTCAATAAAGGTACTCACAGGTAGTGCGTGAAGTACAAAAAGTGCATGCCCAAGGAAAACTGCATCCAAACTCGTTGGCCTATAACCCCAGAGCACATTAATTTTATTTATCATCTCATTAAAACAAATTTAAGGCTTTGAAAGTTGCTTCGAGTGTTTAATATCTGAGTGAAGTAAAGAAAAATTAAAACAGCATATGTTGTAGTCACCTGCTCTCAAATAAAAAGGACTGATCCCCTAACCTAGTTGATAGAGCTCCATAAGCAACTGTTGCTCTCCTGTAAATCTGTCCAACCGAAAATTATTGAAAGTGCACACTTAAGGATAAGTGCAAGTGCACATTTTTGTAAGAAGAAAGAGAAAGGTAAAATCAACTCCTCCAGCATGTGCTATTTTAACAAGAGAGAGGAGAGAGAGAGAGATGGAAAGTACCTCCTCTTCTCTTCGGTCTGCATTTTCCTTTGTTATTTCAAGTAGTTGTTTTGTAATGCGAACTTGCTTGAAATACAGAAACTTTCCAATTGGCCAAGGCAGGTCAGAATAATATACCTTGTGTGCAGAACTTCCATCAGAGCCCACCCGTAGTTCATACATCAGTGCATCTGCAAGCCATGAATTAACCATTGCCTTTGTGGATATCCATTCAGGGACAGAATGAACTTCGGAGTCCAAATCAACAATACCATCTTCTTTTAAGCTCTCAATAACCCCACCCTTCTCATTGTTGTAGGCCACATAAGTACCAGACTCAACATAAGGAATTTGATCTAGCAAAATTGAAGTCAAAGATCACATTATGATGACAGCAATAATAGCATTTCTTTGCTCATTAGAATAAAAAAGGTACCGAAGTTTGGTTATAATTTAATTAACTTAAAACATAAAACTAATAAAATCATATTACACAAACCTATTGTGTTTTCCAACTCGTACACAATAAAAAACCAGCTTAACCACTCATTTATTTCAATACCAAATAACATGGTTATACAAGAAAAGCCTTCACCAACTTATGGACTCAGCTTCTCAAAGCCCTTTTTCCATTTTGCTTTATCCAGACCATTACATGGATATGCCTAGTGTCAAGAGTAAACTGTAGGAAAAGGTAAAGGATCTAATTCAAACATAAACATAAATATATCCCTCGCTATAGTAAGTAGAGACAAAACCTTTTGACTCAACTCAATAAAGCCGTAAACTGTAGGACAAGGTAAAGGATCTAATTCCTCATCTCACTGCACATTATTTTTTGGTGTTGCACTTCTTAGCAACATACTGGAGCATGACAATGTACTTTTAAGGGGACATAACAGGTGTTGCAAGAATGCTTGTAAGGCCGAAGCCTTAATTGCATTTGAAATCATGTTAGTCATTGTTTGTTTTTTTACTTAAGTTTACTTGTAGCAACTCTACATGTGTCATGCTTAGTGCTTCATGTTTTACACAACTGCTCCCAATCCAACAAGGAGAGTTGTGCGTTAGGTAGCTTGACAACTAGCATGTCAAAATCCTTATGAACATGAATCTTGATATGAATATGCGAGCAAGGGTTGGGGTGTTACCTATAAGCAATGCATTGTGCTTGTATTCGGGCATTTCAAAAAATAGGCAAGGGGACTGCATCTGCACCTGGGTGAGGTGAAAAATAGATGTGTAATACCCTAGGTATTACTTGTGTGTGGTAATTGTGCATTTTGTGTGTGCTTTATGTGACCACACTCTATGCTTCAATAAAAAGGCTATGTGATCATCTAAAGATGTAATGGGCTCCTAGTAAGAGAATGTTATGTGGTTAATGCTTGAATTGAGAAGATGCTCAACACTTTAAATGAATTGTCCTCTAATATAGCAGATTTTGTATAAACAGATGCTCTATAATAGCAATGCCTATATTTATGTGATTACTTTTCTCGTTGAAACAAGTCTTTTAGATATGAAAATTAAAAAGGAGTGATGTCCACTGTGTGTGTTGACTAAAGATTTTAGTAGGGGACACTTGAATGAGAATTGTTTAATTGCCTTAATGATGTTTGGATGGTTAATCAAGGTGCTCAAGCAATTTGGTCCAATGGCTACTACATTCTCAAACTCTGAGTGAAAAACTAACCGTAATTAGTTAATCTTAAGTATGATTAATTAGCATAAACATGATTAAGCTTAAGTGAGACTGTTAATGCTAAGCGTGATTAACCAAGGTAATCGATATTCATTACCTTAACTATGATTAATTTGTGTCAATCAATGTGATCAGTGTAAATTGTTGAAGTACACACCTTTTCTTGTGACATCGCCTAATTGCATTTGCCTACAATGTTTGTGACACGTGTTGTATTAGATATAATTTTGCATGTATAATTTTTAATAAAATATAAAAGTGCAGAGACAATCACAAAGTCGTCACTGTGAAATCTGAAATCATTATTTAAGAAAATAAGAGGGAAAGTGAGGAAAAGTATATATAAAAAAAAAAAAAGGAAACAAAGGAGAAGCCTGGAAACTCAAAATGAGGTATAGTTCCTTATCCTTCGCCTAGATCTATTTCTATGATATGAAAATAACATGATTAAAATAGGTTTAGAAAGGGTATTTGATAACAATTAAGATTGAATTACATGTTTATGTATAATTCACTCTTTTTGGTTGGGAGATATCCGAAAGCATACTGGCTTTACTCAAACCAAAGCCTCTATAATCAAGCAAAATCACCTTATCACAAGTAGATGGTGCCACCCAATCAATATCCACCAAATGAAATAGTTTATTTCTTATCAGTTTATGGCTCAAATTTATTAACTTGACTTGATAGTTTAAAAAGGAGTCACCAATTCAATGGTTAAAACTCAGCAATCAACCTTGGGATTGTGGGTTCAAATCTGAGAAAAGACACTTTGTGCAAATAATGCCAAAAGTTAGAACTGTACCCAATCTATCCCTCCTAGACACCTATTTTTTTGTTAGTTTGCACTTATAGCAACAACGATAAAGAATAATTGAGCATCTCTAATTGAATATTTCCCTGACATGCAAATTGCATCAACATGCCCTTTGAAGTTCGGGCAATGCAAAGCAATTAACCTTAATGGTGATGTAAAACCCCAATCCATCCTTGGGTCTTGTTAGTAGTTTCAGAAATGCTTCCTCACTGTAAATGTTCAGTGGCACATGACATCATGGCCACTCCAAGAGCATATTGAGGTCCACCGTCTCATAGGCTCCACCAAAAAAAATAGCGAAGGCGAGAGATGCGATTTGGTCGAAGAGGCGATCGAGTGAGAGACGCGACTGGTTCGAAGGTCATCGACTGGTTCGACTGGTTCGAAGGTCATCGAAGTCGACTGTTGCGACTGGTTCAAAGGTCATCGAAGTCGACTGGTTCGAAGTCGCCGATCAGGATCCTCTTGCCGACCAGGTTTCTTTCTCTTCTCCTTTACTCTACGTCTTCTCTCCCATGCCGTATCCACTTCTTCCATGCCGTATCCCGTCCGTATCCCGTACCCGTACCCGTGTCGTGTCGTATCGACACGGGTACTTCGCCAAAACTGACGAGTCCGTGTAACGTAGATCACAAGTAGATGGTGCCACCCAATCAATATCCACCAAATGAAATAGTTTATTTCTTATCAATTTATGGCTCAAATTTATTAACTTGACTTGATAGTTTAAAAAGGAGTCACCAATTCAATGGTTAAAACTCAGCAATCAACCTTGGGATTGTGGGTTCAAATCTGAGAAAAGACACTTTGTGCAAATGATGCCAAAGTTAGAACTGTACCCAATCTATCCCTCCTAGACACCCATTTTTTTGTTAGTTTGCACTTATAGCAACAACGATAAAGAATAATTAAGCATCTCTAATTGAATATTTCCCTGACATGCAAATTGCATCAACATGCCCTTTGAAGTTCAGGCAATGCAAAGCAATTAACCTTAATGGTGATGTAAAACCCCAATCCACCCTTGGGTCTTATTAGTAGTTTCAGAAATGCTTCCTCACTGTAAATGTTCGGTGGCACATGACATCATGGCCACTCCAAGAGCATATTGAGGTCCACCGTCTCATAGGCTCCACCAAAAAAAATTTGTACCAAAAATCTCTCGTACACACACACACACACACTCTTTTCATGTATTTTCTTTAAATCATTCAAAATTGATGTTTATAGACTTAAAAAATTAGATCAAATTTCGATGACATTGGAATATTAACAGTAAGCCAGTGATTATAGCAGAAGAGCGGCAATCACAGTAACAGGGTTCCTATAGAGTACAGCACCAAATAATCCAGAAACTAAAACAAGGGTAAAGGAATCCATCTCGCAAGTATATTTTAATTAATAAACACCGTAGAAAGTATATTTTTTTTTAAAATTCTATTCGGCAACTAGAGATAAGTTCTGAGGCCTCTTAAGATAAAGCATATATAACCAATCACAGCCGCCAAATTGGACACTAAGAAGTCACAAATTATAATCAGCTGTCCAAACAACTGGGATTAGCCTAGCCCAGTGGCTAGAAACCCGTGTAGTTCACTACAAAGTCATGAGTTCAACTCCACCTCCCCCCACCCAATGTACCAAAAACAAAAACAAAAACAAAAACAAAAATAAAAATCTCTAAAAGAAGGGAAGTGTTTGGATGTGCAAGGTACATACCATATGCACTTGCGTAAGTTCTCACAAATATATAAGTTGCCACACAAAATCGCGTAAGTTCTCACAAATATACGTAATTTGTGATTTCTCAAATTTTTATGAGATATCTTACATTACGTATGTTTGTGGAAATGTGCGCAATTTTGTAAAGTAACTTATGTATATTTACGAGAACTTACGCAAGTGCATATGGTATGCACTTGCATTCTTAAGAATTGCCCCTAAAAGAAATCACCCTAAATTCACCCACAGTGGTGTGGTAGGGTTGAGTCATAGTTGGTTGACTCTAAACAAATCAATAACTTACATGCAACGGTTCACGCTATTGGTATAAATTTAGGGTTGATGTTTTAGGGGTCTCAATCATTTAAAAAAAAAAATCCTTCCCAACAATCCAAGCATACCACAAATTGACATTAAATAAAACTCAATAGAGAACTATAGAAATAGTAAACAAATCCCAAAACAGTTAGCTCAAAACAAAGAAGAGATGCAAAATTCAAATCTGAAAACACTTGGGAGACCAATAAATTTGCACCCAAAAAAAAAAATCTACAATAATGAGAATGAAGAGAGAGTGAACCTGAATCAGGGTAGGTAAGATTGAAAGCCAAATTGAAGGGAAATTGAGCAAATTTGAGGTAAATGTAAACAGGCAAACATGAAGGGCAAGCTGTGGGGAGACCGAAACATGATTTTCTCGCAACAAGAGTCACCTCTTCATCCATATGTATGCGCATATATATATATATAGAGAGAGAGAGAGATGTATATGTATATGTATATATGTATGAGTATGAATTGCTTTATATAATGAGGGTTTTGTTACACTGGTTTTGAAATGGTGAAGAAGAAGAATGAGAAGCCATCATAATATGATTTTGCTTTGACGAAGGGAAGACGCATAGTAAACCCTATGGGTTTTTTCCTGAAACGGTGTCGTGGCAAGCTGACGGTTTCTTGAGAAATTAACTAATGACATGGTGGTGATTTCGGTAACGTCACATGTCTATTAATTAGTCAGTAATGTTAGGGATCATGAAAAATATATCATGAATATTATCATAAAAGATTCTTAATCTTTGGATTACTCATATAATAAAACACTACACACTAATTAAGGTCAAGTTTGGCATCTACTAAATAATACAAAAATTCAAAAAGTCACTATACTATTTAAGTCACATCATCTTATTTAAATCACATCACCTCTCTAATACATCATATCAAACCCAACTCAAACCCAATCCATATAAGTCAATAAATCAAAAAGTGTACTTTTTAGAACATCCCAAACCAACCCTAAGACTAATCAAGGGATGAAAAATCTTCGTGATGTATTTCATGATATATTTTTTATGATTCCTAACATTACTCTATTATTATTGACTACAATTATTATATAAGTTATAAATATTTAAAACAATACAAATGATACTCTATTAATATATTAATGTATATATTAATTCATACATATTGCATAATTCGGGTGATTTTGGGTTATTAGGGTTTACTTACGTGTCTATGTGTTTGGTAAAGAATTTTGTAATTTTGTTAGGCCCTAGCATTGCTTATAACACTTTATTTATGCATTTTAATTCTTCGAATATAATTTTTTTTTTTTTATAGAAATGCCTCTTTTAGAGCATCTTTAACGTTGTGGTTGATAAAATTAAAAGCTAAAAATTAAATGTTAAATTTTTTAAGTTGAAAATTTATTTTATAAAAATTAAGTAATAAATTAAAATAAATTGTTTAATATTGATGGTACAGTACAATTCGTTCTGGGTGGATGGGTCGGACTGATCCAAGCTCTCTGGGTTCCGATTCAAGTGGGTGAGTTCTCCAGATGACCTGCAAACAAGTTCAACGGGGAACAGGGTAGTCCTCCGGTGAACCCTCCGACGAGTAAATTAGTAGAGGAAGCAGGGAGTACCGAGAGAGAGAGAGATGGATATAGAAAAGCTTAACCTTCTTCTTGTCTTCGATTCTTGCTTATATCCTTTGGCAATCATTTCACTGTCCCTTGCGACGTGCCCACATCGCCGAAAGCCTGTACTGTAGCTTACCTTGTTCAGGGTGAGGGGGCGCTGTTCCGACGGGGAGGTGTTGTCGTAATAAATGCTGTGAGGGGCTACATTAATGGCGATGTGCAGTGGCAATAACTTTCTTGCCAGACTTTGTCTGCTGATGTGGCCTGTGCTTCACCTGCCATATATCCGAATATCATTGGCCCTCCATGCCAGTTGGCCTCCAGCTGTCCTGGGCTTTACCAGCAGGGTTATGTTTATGGATCCTAGATAGTGGGCTTGGGGCTTGTTCACTATGGGCGTAGCCTCTGTGGGCCTATCCATGTCACAATATATATATAAAATTAAAATTAAAATTTATTATTTTAAATTTTAAATTTTAAATTTTAAATTTGTAATTTGTAATTTTTATATTGTAATTGCGGCTTAGTGGTGGCAGTGCTAATGACAATGGTAGTAGAGATACAAAATTGTGATTGTGATAATGCTGAGTGTAATGCAATGGTGGTAAAATGGAATGGTGCGTAGTATAATGGTGGTGGTGATTGTAGTGGATGGAATGATGGTGGTAATTTATAACAATGGGTAACCAATGTGTACGTAGGTGAAGGGTAGTTATAATGGTGGTGGAGAGGTTATCCTAATAATAATGGCAACTGTGGTAATTAGTAATGAAAATAATAATACTATAATATCTATGCAACGGTGGACAATGGTGATAGAGGTTTGTAGTAGCGATAGTCGGCGGTGTGGTGGGGAGGATGGTACGCATATAGATGATGTAGTGGTCTGGCAGTGAGTGAATAATGGTAGGAGTAGTGGCGATGCACCCATCAATGTTAGTGGGAAGGAGATAGCAATGACAATAGCTACAATGGTAACGTGACGATGGTAATGGTAGTAATAGTTGTATTGGTGGCATGTTGATGGTAATAGTGGTGGTAGTGAGTTATACCATGTATGTCAACATATATGTATAAGTATTTATAATTCAGTCAAAATTAAGAAGGTTTTTTATCACTTAAGATTTTTTTTAATTTTTAGTCTATGTTTTAATATCACTTAAATTTTAAATGATATCCATTATGTGTTACCAAATATATTTAATTAATTTCACTTAATATATATCAATTTAAGTGTAAATTAGGTTATAAACACCACTTAAATTCTTAAACTTTTTTTTATTATCAATTTTTAAATTTGATGAAAAGGCTCAAAAATTATCTTCAATTCATTCATCAAAATATTCTCGCTTTAGTTTTTGAAAAGTATTTTAAGCTTGAAGTTGTATTTTGAAAGATAAGTTGTTGAAAAAGAGTATTAAAAATTGAAAATTTGTTTGGTTATAAGGTTTGAAATAATTTTTGATATATGTAGTTGTTTTTTTTTTTTTTTTTTGTAGTTACATAGATGGGTATGAGAAAAAAAATTGATTTATGATGTGCAAAATATGAGATAATAGAGAAGTTATTTGTTGGTCCAATGCAGTGCCACACGATGCTCCACATACATTGTGATTGATGGAGGGGGTGAAGTCTAGGATTTTGTATTGGGTGATTGGGAAACATGAAAAGATAAAGGTGATTTGTGATTATCCAGGAGTATAGCTATGTGGTCTTCTTAGACAATAAATAATTTTTCAAAATGATGACATAGGAGAGAAGATAGAGAAAAACGTGATTGATTGATTGTATTAAGTGATTGGGGAACATGAAAGGACATGATAATTTGTGATTGACTAGGGGGTATAGCCATGTGGTGTCCTTGCGGACAACTATAATTTTTCAAAAGGATGACATAGGAGGAGAGGATAGAAAAAAGTGATTGATTGATTCTTAATATATTAAAAAAAAAAAAAAACAAAAACAAACAAACAAAAAGAGGAGAGATGAAAGAGAAAAAAAAAATATTAAAAGAATTTTAAAAATTTGTTACCCAAACATATTTTTAATTGTTTGATCTAAATATTAATTTAAAAACTAAACCAAACGCTACATTAATTTTGCCAATTTTCTATATCAAATTATCAAACTCAATGAGTTAAATACAATCTCGTTGAGTATGTGAGAAGTATCAGACTTTCCTTCGATTTATTATGCCTCTGTTTTGGAAGAGGCTTTTTGGGCTTTTTTTTGACTAAAACACCCACAAACAGATAAAATATGCTATTTAGCCCAACAAATAAAACATCACATCAAACCCATAATTATTACACTTTTCTCTCACAAAAAAAAAGTCAAAAAGTCAAAAAGCCCTTCCCAAACCAAAGCTTTTTAGCCCAGGCTAAAATAGCCAAAAAAACCAAAAAACCAACCACTTCCCAAACCAAGTCTCTAATGATGGATACAGACCAGCAAGGTTAGGGTCATATCCTGTAAATATGCTCGTTTGGCCATTCATAATTTGGAACTAAAAAAATATAAAAAAATAAAATAGACTAAATAAATTAATAAGATAAAAAAAAAAATATCACATTAAATTATAATCATTTCACTCAAAAAAAAAATTGTCAAACGAACTTTTTAATCCAAAGTTTTTTAAAAAATCTCAGTTTCAAAAAGCCAAACTAATGGACTCATAGATTCTAATAGGTGGATTTTATATTTAATATGTCTTATGATAATAATAATATTTAATATGTCTTATTTATTTTTAGCAGCAGTTTGAAAATTTTGTCACATAAAATGTTACTAATTTTTAGTTTTAACAATAGTTTTAAAAAAGTAACAAAGAACATCACTAATTTTTAATTTTTAATGATAGTTTAAAATTTTTATCATAAAAAACATCACTAACTTAGTATAAGTTTTTATGCAATAATTTATAAAAATGTTAAAAAAATTATTAATTATCAATTTTTGAGTATATATGTAAAAAAATTTTCCTAAAAATTATTTTAATTGATAATTTTATTAAGACTTGTTTTTAATAAGATTTATTCGATTTAAATCATAACAAACTTATTGATAGTTTACTTAAAAAATTATTTGATGGAGACAAACATTGCCAGCCACCTGGTGAGTGTGTTGTAAACCCTTTTGGATTTTATTATATTGGGCGAGATGGCTCACGTTCTTTGAGGCAGACCGACTCGATTGGCGGTATCAGGCAAGGCATAAGGGTATACAAATGGCCCAAGGCTCCACGTGGCGGCTTGAAACTCCCCCGCTGCCCGAAGTAGACCCTGCCCATTTCGGCTCAGGCCCCGAGCTCGGACCTTGGGCCTAGGCCTTGGCCTTCCATTTGAAGCCCGGTCGCTAGCTCCCCCAAAAAAAAAATTCGAGCCCTTGCCCGACCTGGCCCACCAATAAACAACATAAAAGGCAAATTACAATGGTTAAATAATTAAAATAAATAAATAAATAAATAAATAAAATGAAGCGGTCATTCTCTGCATCAGGGAAGTAAAGCTGACTGCCCCTGCCAGTGCCGCCTACCCGCTGCCCCCTTGTCTGCATCACTTACATTATCATTGTAATTTGCAATGAATTAAAAAAAACCAAATATAATATATAT